AAAGTTGGTAGCACAAAAGCACAAGTGAAAAATTGCATTAATAAACACTCACTAAACCAGGTAAAGAGAAACCACAACTTAAAAGCAGTAACATGAATTTGTGGTGTATTTGGGGGGAAAAAGTAATCCTTTTGATTCATCGTGAAAGTGGATAGCAGCTGCTATGTTGTTCTGTTCTACTCCAATCACTCACGTGAAATAATTCCTATCCCTAGCCTCCTGAGTTTGGTCTCTCAATTTTTCAGTAAAAAGAAATGGAGTCTTTATCAAGTAACATACTTTAAAATTAGCCTGGAACAACCTGTTCTTGTGAGGAAATAAGGATACCTTCAAAGATGTCTGAGTTGTGACATAGAAATCAGCATAAAATCACCATTATGGGCCTATGGAATTTTGAACATTAAAAACGTGACTATGGCCCTGGCTGGTGTAGCTCAGTGGATTGAGTGCTGGCCTGCAAACCAAAGGGTCACTGGTTCGATTCCCAGTCAGGGCACATGCCTGGGTTGTGGGCCAGGTCCCCGGTCGGGGGTGCTCAAGAGGCAACCACACATTGATGTTTCTCTCCGTCTAATTCTCCATCACTTGACCCCTCTCTAAAAATAAATACAATCTTAAAAAAACATGATTACCACCCCCCACTGCTAGTGACGTCTATGAAAGGCCACACGTTCATGGTGATGCTCAAAAGGGACAACACCAAGTGAGTAAGAAATAAGCTGCACAAATGCATACATGGTCGCAATCCTCAGACAAATTCTGTGTCAGGATGACCTGGGTCTGGGTATTAAATTGGATCTGTGGGCTTTCTCACCGACTGGGAACTTGGGGGCAGATGCTGCACAAGCACCTGAGCTCATTTTCATTTTTCACATTGCTGATGAAAACAGAACCTTTTTGCTGATGAGCTTGGCTCAAAACGGACTCATATTTTGGTGAGTTCTTCCTGAATAACAAAAAACCCACATATAAGAAGGTGGTGGCACAATGAGTTTAGATGTGTCCGGACCCCACCCTGTGTGTATTTTTGTGGCAACATTTTCCTAGGAATTCTAGGTACCCACAAGAAGATTTGTTGAGATATGAAGGAGTTTATACTACAGTTTAGGAAAAAATTAGGTTTTTGTTCACAAAAAATAAATGCATGCAAGAAGGAAGATTTGATGCTAACAATGATTAATGAGGGAAACATGTTGTCTTAATAATTATAGCTTAGTGTGGTTATGAAATTAAGAAAAAATATTGTTAAAGTCCCAAAATAGGAATGGCATAGTGTAAACTATCAAAAATCTTTTGAAGTCTAGAAAATGGGCAGTGGTTCATCAAGAATTCAGCTTTGGCCCTGGCTGATGTACCTCAGTGGACTGAGCACCTGCCTGCAAACCAAAGGGTCGGCGGTTTACTTCCCAGTCTAGGGCACATGCTGGGTTGCAGGCCAGGACCCCAGTAGTGGATGCTTAAGAGGCAACTGCACACTGATGTTTCTCTCCCTCTCTTTCTCCCTCCCTTCCCCTCTCTAAAAATAAAATAAATAAAATCTTAAAAAAGAAAGAATTCAGCTTTTATGCCCTGACCAGCGTGGCTCAATTTGTTGGGCATCCACTTGCAAAGCTGAAGGCCACCTGTTCAAGCTGACAGTGACCAGAGGGGAGAGGGGAGGCAATTATAGGGGAAAAGGGGAAGGGTTTGCAAGAACAATTATAAAGGACACATGGACAATAACAAAGGGAGTGGGAAACAGGAGGGGGAGGTGGGGAGGGGTGAGGGAAAGGCAGAAAACTGTACTTGAACAACAACAAAAAACGTTTATAAATAAATAAACAAATACTGCCTGTTCAACTCCCAGGCACATGCCTGGGCTATAAGCCTGGTCCCAGGTCTGGGCACCCACGAGGCACAACTGATTGATGTTTCTCTCTCACACCGATGTTTCTTTCTCTCCCTTCCTCCCTCCCTCTCTAAAAATAAATAAAATCTTTTTTAGAAAAGGAATTCAGATTTGCTCATCTACCAGAAGTCCACCTCATGAGGACGGTATTTCTTGGAGCTGTACTCTCTGTACTCTCTTCTGGGAACCCTGGGGACAGGGTGATCTGGAAGAACTGGTAAGGGAAACAAAAATATAAAGTCATAAAGTCTGCTACCGACCTTGTGTTGTTGGGTGGGAGCGCTGTAGATACCTGAGTATTTCTTGGCATTGATAAGAAAATGTTTTCTTCGTGCCTAGCATTCTTGGGCACTATTCTTAGCTTCATTATAAGGTAGGAAGGGCCACTGACTAAAATGGAAGGAAAGGCTCTGTTGAGGCTTCTGGCCTCGAGCAGCCAGTAGAAACTTCCAGAGGAGCTCCAGGTCACCAGCTAAATGCTGATGTGCCCCCAAACAACTCTCAAGGAAATGGGAGATTGATTAAAGAGGACTCAGAAACTGTGGAAAGGGTTCAATTAAGTTGATGTTGACCAGCACTGTTATTAATGAAAAAGTGTTAAGAAAACATTGGTTTGGGGTGAGGGGTTAATATCAATCTCAAAGATAAATCATTTTAGGAAAGAGTCAAAATGTCCCTTTTCAATACATGTCAAAGGCCTTAAGGTTTCGTGGTCAAAAATGAAGTCTGATTCCACAGGTTTGTGACTAGACTATTTCTGCTGCTTGAAGATGCAGGTCTTCCCTAATGGAAAACTACTGGAACAGAAGAATAACTTATCTTGTAAAACAGGTATTGAGATTCTTTGTGGTTGGGTAGGACTCTGACAAAACAGAAAAAGGTAGAGAACAAAAGAAATGAAAATAAAGAAAGGAACAAACGCTGATTTGTAAGAGAATGAGGAAACCAGTCTGACTAGAGTAGATGGTCCACAGCCAAACAGAAAATGGGAATGGTTATGTAGGGAAGGTCATGGAGGACTTGGGTGCCGGGGGTTGAAGTTTAATTAGGAATTGAGTTAGATGAATAAAATGATACTTTATGGAGATAATCCGGTAGCAATAAACAGGGTAGAGAGGAGTAGTGAGGCATTGAGAGGTTGGCGGAAGAATATAAAACCTAGGTGATGAGAGCCCGAGCGAGGGCCATGAGACTGGTGAGTTGCAAAGAAAGAGGAGACACACAGAAAAGCAGATGTTTTTCTTTGTTTTCCTATCGCAAAGGTATTATATGCTCACTTTAAAAGTTTTAATAATACTGTATAAAGTAAAAAATCAACACATATATACATATATATGTATGTGTATATATGTGTGTATATACACACACATACATACATACATGGTCTGGCACAAATAACATGCCTTTTTATTACAAAGTATATTTTTAAAGATTTTATTTATTTATTTTTAGACAGAGGGGAAGGGAAGGAGAACGAGATAGAGAGAAATATCAATGTGTGCTTGTCTCTCAAGTGCCCCCTACTGGGGACCTGTCCCACAACCCAGGCATGCGCCCTGACTGGGAATCGAACCCAAGACCCTTTGGTTTGCAGGTCGGTGCTTAATCCACTGAGCCACACCAGCCAACGCTATTGTGAAATCTTTTATTACAAAATCTTAAGCATGTGATTCTGTAACATAACAATATCATCCTCAACCACACCATAGGACATTTTAGGTGAAATGTTCAAATTAAAGCTATAAATTATTACATCCACATTATTACCTTACCAACAACACCCCAGCAGGTGTTACTTCTGCCAGATGCTGTGTGTGTGCATATATATACATTTGTGTGTATAAATGTGTATGTGTGTCTGTGTGTGTGTGTGTGTGTGTGTGTGTGTATAAATAAAATCGGTACAATCACTATTCCAAGTGATATTTCAAACTCCTAGATCACTATAGGGAAAAGGAGGACATGTACTTTGACAAATCTAGCAAAAAGTGATAAAAATAAAAATAAAGTGACAGAATTATGAATAAAATATTATGGAATTCAGTAAACATGAAAGTTTTCATTATGAATTAAAAGGTAGATATTATCAGATGGAGGAAAAATATCATCATGTGCTATTTTGAAAAGATACATTGAGAACAAAACAAGACAGAAAAGTTGAAAATATTGGAATGGATAAAAATACACCAGACAAATGCTAACAAAAATCTATTAATAGTAGAAGTGGCAAAAAATGTAAGCCAAAAAATGCATTGAATGAATAAAAGAAAGTATCTTTCTGTTGTGAATTAACACAATCCAATAAGATAATCATAAAATTTAATGCAATGAAAAAGAATTTCAAATATGTAAAGTAAAAAAGGTTAGAAATAGGAGACTGTGATAAAACTGAGATTTTATATACTTTTATCAGAAAATTTAGATTAGCCAAATACATAGGGAAAATCTGAATCACAATTAAAAATTTGATTTATTATGTATAAATGATATAATAATACCCAAACAAAAATACATTTACTTCAATTGTGCACAGAATATTTATTTTAAAATTTTACATTAGGATGCAAAATATACCAAAGTGTATAATTCATGCAGGAAGCATTCTCCATCCATGAGGCAGTATAACTAGTAATGAGGAAAACAAGCATAGAAAAGCCAAACATTAACGAAAACCTAATCATGTTGAAATATGTAAATGTACTTCTAAATAACTGAGTTAGAAAGGAAAACGAACTACAGATAAGGTATCAAAGAATGACTATTATCACACTGCAAGTGAAAGCTATGCAACAAGGTCAAATATATTACAGGAAAATTTATTATTTAAATGCATTAAATAGAAAATGAGAAAGACTGAAAAATAAACTAGGCATCCACTTAACTGTAGAAAGAGATCAAACAGAAGCCAAGACTGTAGAAAGAAGGGATCAACAAAAGCAGTAAGTGATATTTTTAAAAACATTTTTTTAATAGTTAACAAAAAACAAAATATATAAACAGTCCTATTAAGGGAAAGAATAAAAAAGAGGTATTTCCATACATATGCAAATTCATTCACATTAGAATATTTTACATAAAACTTACAAACAATACATTTAAAAATCCAGATGAAATGGAAAATTTTTACAAACAAACTGACAAAACTGACTCCAGGAAATGAGTCTAATCATCAAAGAAATTGAGAAGAGGATTTACTATATTGTTACTCCCCCACTTCCCAAACAAACATGAGAACAAAATGTTTTTATGGGTGAGTGTTACCAAATGTTTAAGGGAACAGTTTGTGTCTAATTTACTCAGACTGTAAACTAGAAAAAAAATTAAGTTGATTCACAGAGTAATACCATCCTGATATTAAGTCAGCAAGAGGAAATTACACAAAGGGAAATAATAAATGAGAATTTCCCAACAAATGTGCACATTGGTGTCCTGAGGATAGGTTTTGTCTGTAACATGATATCTTCTAAGGCCTTGCGGGCAGACAGGAAGAGCTTGGGAAGCCAGCTGCTTCTGCCCTGAGCAATCCTGTCCATTTAATTTCCCACAGCGTGCCATGATGTGAAAAAGGTACAAGGCACTGCTCTAGGAACATGTTAATAGAGTTTTAGGTGTGGCATGAAATATTTGCATAAACAAAACACTGCTACCAAGTCACTTTTATTCCAAGGATGCAAGAATAGTTCAGCATTAGGAAACCTATCAGTGTAATTAACTACACTAATGGATTAAAAAGAATAATCATATTATCACCCTAGCAGATCCCAGAGAGGGCATTCGAGAACATTCTACATCTTTTTCTGACAAATCTGTCACTTAGGAATCAGGAATAGCAGGGTGTTTCCATAAGTTGAAATAGGGTATCTGTCAGATTCAATAGGAATCATATTTGAGAGTGAAACAAGGAGGTATTGTTATTAAAGTCAAAAACAAGAGAAGGAGGCCTATTTTTATTCTCAGTATAAATCTGCACTGTCCTGGAAGTCATAAGATCTTTACCAATGTGCCAAAAAGAAAACCAAATCAGAAACAACCATTTGCAATGAAAAGACAAGCTTTTTCTCATTTACAACTGACGTGATTATGTAGCTAGGAATTAAAGATGATTCATGGGGGGAAGCACAGAGATAAGAACAGAGTTTAATATGATGCCTGGGGAAAAGATAATTGCAAAATTCTGTGTTGCAAAGATGCCACTTCTTGACAGGTTACTCAAAAGGTCCGAGGCACTTCCAGGGAATTTTTTTCTTTATACCAAAGTTGACAAGTTGACTCTATGATTCACCTGAAAAAGAAAATATAGAATAGCCAAGTAAATTCTGAAAAAACAAAAAGAAGAAGGGAGAGCAGCCCTATCAGATTTCAAAACATATCATAATGCTCCAGTAGTAATTTAAGCAGTGAGGTACTAGTGCAGTAATAGACAAAAATGAAACAAAAAAGAAACATAACAAGCATGCCAATATAGTTCATCATGAAAAGAAAATTCCTTAAAGGAGTTCATCATCACCAAGGCTTTATTATATGAAATGTTAAAGGGACTTATCTAAGAAAAGGAAGATAAAAAACATTTATAGTAAAATGACAGCAAACTCACAACTATCAACAACTGAACCTAAAAACAAAAACAAACTAAGCAAACTAGAACAGGAACAGAACCACAGAAATGGAGACCATGTGGACGGTTATCAGTGGGGAGGGGAAGGAGGGAGAGAGTGGGGAAAGGCACAGAGATTTAAAAAGCATAAATGGTAGGTACAAAATAGACAGGGGGAGGTTAAGAATAGTATGGGGAATGGAGAAGCCAAAGAAATGGTATGTACAACCCGTGGACATGAACTAAGTGGGGGGATGCTGGTGGGAGGGGAGGTGAAGGGCGGAGGGGAATAAAGAGGGAGAAATGGCACAATTGTGATAACATAATCAATAAAGTATATTTAAAAAATAAAAATAAATGAATAAAATCTTTTTTAAAAGTTAAAAAAGCCAAATGAGTGTAAATATAATTAATACAATAAATAATTTAGGAAAACTACTTATGTCTTCTGAAAAAAATTAACATAGGCCCCTACTGTCCATCACACACACACACACACCAACAGACACAAACAATTCCATATGGGTTAAAGGACTAAGAAATAAAATATGTAAAATATTAGAAGAAATATTGAGCCATATTTTTATAATCTTGGTGTGAGACAAAACCAAGGAACTATAAAAGAAAAATTAAAATGTTTGCCTATTTACATAATTAAATCTTTGTGGCAAATAGCATCACAAATAAACTTTTAAAAAGACAAAGGAAAGGCATTTGTAATACACAGCAGACAAAAAGATATCATCACTAATATTTAGAGACCTACATATCAACAATGAAAATAAAAGATAAATGACTCAAAAGAAAAATATGCAAAGGAGATGAATAAGAAATCTCCAGAAGAATACAAATAGCTAATAAATATATTAACAGGTGCTTAACTTTACTAGTGGATAGGGGAAAATAAAGGAATGAGATTGAAATTTCCATCCAAAATGCTGACAAAACTAAAAAGAATAATAGTGTCCAGCATGCCATGAAGGCCATTTAGTTCACTCTTTTATCTAGCAGGTGTATTTCTAGCTTATAAAAATGCTTCTAAACATGCAAAAGATAGATTTAAAAGAATGCTTTCCACAGCATTATGTGTAATAACAAAAAACTGTTAACCTAAAGATTTGTCATGTGGAAAGAGTTGAATAAATGATACAGTGCACCCTACTGTGGAATTCTACTAGCTGTTACAATGACTTTCTACTGAAGGGGAAAGGAAAGGGAGACAGGACAGCAAGTTTGGAACAGTACAGTTAAATTGTCACTTAACTGCATAGATAGGTTCTTGGGAACTGCAACTGTAAGGGAAACAATGTGTAATGAAACCAATTTTCCCGGAGGCTGATTGATAGAAACAAGAGTTTAGTGCCTATGGCACATTTCTGGTCACAAAAACATCACCAAACTTTTAAATAAAGACCCAAACACTTGTAATATCAAACACTGAAAGAAACAAATATGAGCCCTGACTGGTGTGGCTCAGTGGGTTGGGCCTCGTCCAGCAAACTGAAAGGTTGTGGGTTCAATTCTCAGGCAGGGTACATGCCTGGGTTGCGGGCCAGGTCCCAGGTTGGGGGCATGCGAGAGATCAATGCTCTCTCACATATCAATGTTTCTGTCCCTCCCTGCCTTCCCTTCTCTCTAAAAATAAATTTTTAAAAAATCCTTTAAACAAAAGAAAAACAAGAAATATAAGCTATACATATGAGTACATTTGAGAAAGATAAATAACAACAAGTAACAATGATTTCCCAACCTGCTTATTCTAGTTCCGGGTCACAGGTGGCTGGAGCATCTCCTGGCAGCTCAGGACAAAAGGCGGGATCCACCCTGGACAGGACGCCTTTCCTTCGCAGGTCCTCTCTCACACATCTACACTCACTTAGACGGGGATACTGCACACGTGCCACTCCACCTCAAATGAACATTTTGGGGTGTGGGAGGACACCGGAGTCCCTGGAGAAAACCCACGCAGACATGGAGAGAACGTGCAAATCACATAGACAGTGGCCCTGCCCAGGGATCCATTTTTTTTCTCACAAACTTTAACAAAAGAACATTGAACAAAACAATGTTACTAGAGGACCTGCTTCATGTGTAGGATGATTTCATTTAGTAAAACACACAAGAACACATTTACACATACAGAAAGTAGTCTGGAAGAAACAAAGCAGACATATCATCATGCCTGTCTCTGGGCAGTAGGCCTGGGAGAGAGATATTTTCATTTGTTCCTTTATATACTACCACCCAGTTTACTTGTATAATAAACATGTGATACACTTGTTACAGAAAAATGACAACATAATCTCACTCTATAACATTTGGATTTTCAAAACTATAAGGAAACATAAAAATGCTATATGAAATCTCATTGCACAGAGGCGATTACTATTAACATGTCAATACTTTTTCAGTCCCTGTTACGCATTTTTGGCATATCTAAGATATTATTCTATGTAATTTGGGGCTTGTTTTTCAATTAGTATAATATTATATGTATTCCATATACAAAATTTAGAAAATAGAGAGCCACAAAAGAATAAAAAGTACATGTATTCTGAACATCCAGAGATAATTGCTTAAGAAAAATATGAAATTCAAGTGCACAAAATTGGGTTAAGAATAATCCATGCATGCTGTCATAGATCATGCATACTGTCTCATTTATCCACGCATAACCCTCATTTATTTGTATCCATTAACATGTTATTTAGTTTTCATTAAGTCATACAATTATTAACAGCAATAATATGCTTTTAATTAATTAATGAACACGCACCCACTCACCCATCAAGAGCACTAGAATACTGACAAAAACTTCAGTTCACTCTCCTATTCCAACCTCCTTTCCTCAAACCCAATGACCATTACCCTGAATTTTTGGTTGATATTCTTTTGCTTTTTAATAACATATTTTAATCCCCAATATATGTGCCTAAATAATATAGTGTTTGAGTTTACTTTTTTTTAATAAACAGGATATCCAGTTATATGTACTTTTCTGGGATTTGACATTTTTTAACATCAGAGAACCAACATCCATCCACATTAATACTGTTTAGCTGTAGTGTATTCATTTCACTGCTGTGTAGTATTCCATTGTGCACATATACCCCAATTTATCGATTTTCCTTTTGGGGCACTTACTACAAACACTTTAGTGTATATTCTAAAATAGTGTATATCCCGAGTACATTTATATCGTTTCCCCCCACAAAATTTTAATATTATATATGCATCCATGTGACCTATTCCTCTCACTAATGAGACCTTGTAAACATATCCCCATTTATTCTAGTAAATAAGCCTCTGTGGTATACACTGAAATGGCTGCATAGTATTCCATCATATATTTACAATATCATTTTATTTATCCACCTCAATTGTTGAGCATCTCAATTGCTTAGAATTTTTATGCTGTGATAAGCTTTAGGATGTAAATTTCCTTTGGATTAGCAACTGGCCTGGGCAGAATTTATTGTAAGTAATATCTGAACAGCTCTGCACACACAGCCCTGCACACACAGGGCCTCCACTGATGAGGCAGTTAGCATTCTGCACAACTTGCACAACCTAGGTGCTCAGCACAGCAGTTTTTATATTACAAAACAATGGAAAGAACTTAATGAAGTAAATAAGTTATGTACTAAAATTACACTACAGATGCACAGTTACTGATATAGAAAGATGTTTATAATTTACTAAGTGGAAAAACTAGGTTAAATGGCAGCATAACATCATCTTGTAAAATAAAACAAACATACCTGTGAAACTACGGAAGGGCATACACTAAAATTTTACAGTATTATCTGTGAATATTGAGGTTATTTGAGATTTTAGCTTTTTCACTTTGCTTATATTTTGAAATGTTTTCAACAGTAAAACTTGATTACATGTGTAAACTAAAGATAAATAAATAATGATTTTGTGCACAATCAGTCAAAATTTTTCCTGAATATAAGAGACTTTCACACTGTAAGAACTATGGAAGAGAAAATAACAAAGAAGTAAATGAAAAATCACACATTATTCTATCTACCCAGACATTATTAGTTCACAATCTACAATGGACTTATTTCGAGTCACTTGTCTCTGATTATATATTTAAAATAACTGCAATTTCACTTTATATAATCTGTCCCCTGATTTCTCACTTAACATTATATAATATAAACTGACCATAAACATTTTAATGGAATAATATTCCATACATGGAAATAGCACACTTACTTAATTATGCCTTCAAAGTTAGACCTTAGTTTTTCTGTTTTTAAGTCTTCGAGATAACTGTGTGAGGCATGTCTTTGTACATGAATTGTCCACATTTTAGATAATTCTCTTGAGTAGATTCATTGAAGTGAAAATACTAAGTCAAAGAGCACAAAACTTTTTATATCCCTTGATATATATTGCCAATATTGTACCTACAATATATTCTAAAGCAGCATGAAATACTTGAGAAAAGAAAGTCAAAATACAGAGTCTGGCAGAAGTAACGCCTGCTTGAGTGTGGTTGGTAGGGTCATAATAGGGGTGTAACAATTTATAGTTTTAATTGGAACATCTCACGTAAAATGTCATTGATGTGCTTGAGGGTGATATTGTTATGTTACAGAATCACAGGCTTATGATTTTGTGATAAAAACCAGGCGTTATTTGTGCCGGACCCTGTGTGCGGATCCCATGCCCATCTTTAGTACTTGCTGCTTAACCTCTGATTAGGTAAAAACTGTTATAAAAACATCTATCTTATCTAAATGACAGAGTTGTTGTGATAATCAAATAAGAATATAGATTCTTCAGTTCCCATAAGTGTTACCTCCTCAGGAATGCTTCCATTAACTTTCTAGACTCCCACAGCATCCTATACTCACTGTTCCTTCTTGGCCTTGCAAAATTTATAAATAATTGTTCTAATTATTTGAACATTATCTCTCTTTCCCCCAGATAATTTTTAAGTTCCATTAAAATATGCCTGGCACACATTTGGCGCTCAATAAATATTTGTTGAATTAATGGATGAATGAATGAAGTGACAACACTTTGTAAACTAAATCATTAAACATTTGTAAGATATTAGTAGTAGTAGTAGTAGTAGTAGTAGTAGTAGTAGTAGTAGTAGTAGTACTATGTAGATAATTTCATTATATTACCTAATGAAAATTTCATTGTATGGCTTTAATGCTTGTCATGCCAACCAGAGGTGTGGGTAGCAATGTTGTTGGAAGCACCTGATAGTAGCTGAGGCTCGGAGAACCAAGTAGTTAGTACTCTAGGTCAGCATGCTTGGAGTTAAGGAGTTGTAGTCACCATTAGTCAGACACAAGGCAGTGGGAGGAATCCAAGAGGTCTGTGAGATTTGAAGCAGGTGGATCCTGGAGGTCAGAAACAAACTAATGGTAAGTGGTGTAGATAGTAAGGTGTAAAGGGGGAAATGGTCATAGAAAAGGAATTAAAGTAGATGGGACAGCTAAATTCCCAGCACCAGAACTCAAAGCATGGAGCTATGAATATGAGTCTAACACGAAGGCTACTTGAACTCAGTACTCCTTTATATCCTGTCTACCCAAACTGAAAATGACATGAGGAAGTGTTTGTGCCAAGTTCCATATACATGAGCAAGGGAATGGTAATAGCTAGTTGAGGAATGAGATCTGTGAATATAAACAGATAGGTCCTCATACTGATGAAATACAGTAAGACCATTTATATATAAGATTTTATAACAGTCTACACATAAAGTGGGAGCAATCAGGCTTTGGATCTCATAATCCTCATCTTGATTTTCAACAGCAGATATTATAGCATAGTGGTTAGGATCATGGACTCTGAAAGCAGGCTAGTTGGGTTCAAATCCCAGCTCAATCATTTATTAGTTGTATCCTTTGGACAAGTTACTTCACCTCTGTGTGCCAGTTTCCTCATCTGTAAAACAGGGATGATAGTACCTACCTCAATGGGTTATTGTGAAGATTAAGTGAGTTGATGCATGTAAGGACCTTAGAACAGTGCCTGGATATAGCAAATGCTATGTTAAGTGTTGTTATTATTATTAGTCACATGAGACCAAACAAAATTGGTGCTATAAAAAAGACACATTGTGTATTTTCCACTGTATGTTAACTTTAGCTAAAATAAAAAAGTCTCTAAATAGTTTTCTCATTAAAATAAGACTTTCACTTGTACCTAAACATAATTGACTATATAAAAACTATAAGCATTAATAAACAGCAAAATTTATCACAGCAATCCCATGTGTTTATTCTATAGAAGCTGTTTTATGAATATTATATTTTAAAGCTGTAAAGAATAAACACATATTTCCTAATAGCAAAAAAACACTATTAGGCTGCAGTACAGTCAGTCCATAATATCTGGTCTATAAGAAGGGATGCCATAATAAATTTTTGGAAGCTAATTCTACTAGAAACAGGAATATTTGAGTTAGAAGGCTTGTCTGTGGAAAGATCTGAACAGGAAAAGGCTTAGACTTGGGAAGACTAACTTTGAAGCCTGGACCTGGGGAAAGTTGGAAAGACCTGGACTACAGAACATGTTAGAATACCTGGATGTTGTAGACACTGGAAGACCTGAATGTTAGAAGATCGGTACACTGGAGATGGAAGGCGTGGATATTTAGCCCACTGTTGGAAGACCGGGTAGTTGTCGGAAGATGTGGAGATGCTGGAAGACGAGCAGATGCTGGAAGCCCTGGAGATGCTGGAAGACTCGGAGGTGTAGGAAGACATGAGTTTTCTGAAAGGCATGGCTTAGTTGGAAGATGTAGATTTTCTGGAAGACGTGCCTTTGTTGGAAGAGGTGGATGTTCTGGAAGACGAGGATTTTGTGGAAGATGTGGTTTTGTTGGAAGACATAAATCTGATGGAAGACACAGCTTTTGGGAAGACAAAGATTTGCTGGAAGAGAAGGATTTACTGGAAGACATGGTTTCTCTGGAAGTTGCGGATTTTCTGGAAGTCATGGATTTGATTGAAGACATGGATAGTCTGGAAGACCTGGAAGTGATTGGAAAGCATGGATTTCCCGGAAGACATGGTTTGCTGGAAGACGTGGATTTTCAGAGAGACCCGAATTGTCCGGAAGACCTTGCCAGTTCGGAAGATGTTGATTTGCTGGAAGACTTGGAGGTTACTGGAAGACGCAGATCTCAAGGAAGACATATTTGTGGAAGACAGAGATTAAGTGGAAGACGTGAATTTTCTGGAAGACATAGCTTTATTGGAAGACCTGGATTTAGTGGAAGACATAAATTTTGTCCAGAAGAAATGGATGGACCGGAAGGCTGGACTTGGTGGAAGACACGGATTGGTTGGAAGACCTAGATTTTTCCGGAAGATGTGGATTAGCTGGAAGATCTTGAAAGCATTGGAAGACGTGGATTTTCCTGGAAGACGTAGATTTTCCCGGAAGATATGGAAGACGTTGATTTTTGCGGAAGACCTGTAATTGCTGGAACACTGGATTTAATGGAAGACGTGGCTTGCCTGGAAGGCGTGGCTTGTCTGGAAGGCATGGATTTTTCTGGAAGACTGGGATTAGCTGGAAGACCTCGATGTTGTTGGAAGACTTGGAGTTGCTGGAAGACCTTGACACTGGCGCCGTTGGAAACCCTGGACATTGGAGACATTGGAAGCACAGGATGTTGGAGACATTGGAAGCCTTGAATGTTGGAGTTCATGGGTATTGGAAGCCCTGAGCACTAAAGACATTGCAAGTCCTGGACCTTGGGAGCCCTAAACATTGGAAGATATTGACACTAGAAGATCTAGACATTAAGAAATATTAAAATCAGACACCTTCAATATTGGGAAATATTATAACACTTAAACATTGACATATTCATGTTAAAAGACATAGAATTTGAAAGATGTGATCCTCATGATGCTGTAAGTCAAAAATGTTGGAAGCCCTAGATATGGGGAGGCCCAGCCTTTAAGAGATCAGGATGTTAAAAGACCTAGTCATTCAGACATTGGGGATGTTGCAACACCTGAATGTTGAAAGACCAAGTTTTTGGAGATATTAAAAGACTTGGGCATTGGAGGGAGTGGTCATTTTAGAAGACATTGTAAAGTCACAATTTAGGAGACACTACAATTTTTAGGAACTGAATGATGTAAGTGCTGGAAGATACCGGAAGAGCTGGATTTGGACTCAATGAAATATATGAGCTCTGGAAGAATGGTATGTAGGCAGTAATGGAGAATTAGAAACATAGTAAAATTTGAGGTTAGAACTCTGGGCTCTGAAAGTCAAGACCTAGAACCTGAAGGTTGATTGTTGGAGATACTAGACGACCTAGGCTTTTAATGACTGATACTGAGATTAGAAAACATTGGCATTGGAGATGTTGCAGGCTAAAAAGTGAAAGATACGGATGTCGTAACATTTAGAAGATAGGGCAATTAGAGATGTTGGAATCTCTGGAGCACAAACACCTTATGTTAGAGACACCGAAGAATTGAAAAGCCTAATCTTAGAGATATTGAAAGGTCATGTTGAAAGATATTGGCAACGTTGAAAGACATTAGCATATTAGAATCTGATACTACATTTAAAAACATATCATAAGGCTATTATAATAGACTTTATGACTATGGCATTTCTTTCACTAAAATACACAGGAAAAGGCCATTCTAGAAAGATGACAGAGAGGAAGCAGGAAAATCCAAGTTAAAACAAGCAGTTTCAATGGGCTGGAACCTAGCTTAGTTTCAATAAACTGGCCTTCTGGGTCTGCACTGCTTAACAGGATGAAAATGAAGAATTAGGTCCTGGCTGGCGTAGCTCAGTGGATTGAGCGCGGGCTGCGAACCAAAGTGTCACAGGTTCAATTCCCAGTCAGGGTACATGCCTGGGTTGCAGGCCATGACCCCCAGCAACCGCACATTGATGTTTCTCTCTCTCTCTCTCAATCTCCCTCTCTTCCCTCTCTAAAAAATAAATAAGTAAATAAATTTAAAAAAAAAGAAAGAAAATGAAGAATTATCAAAGAATAAGCATATTGCCCTGGCTGGTGTGGCTCAGTGGATTGAGTGCCAGCCTGGGAACTGAAAGGTCACTAGTTTGATTCCCAGTCAGGGCACATGCCTGGGTTGTAGGCCAGGTCCCTGGTTGGGGGCATGCAAGACGCAACTGATCAGTATTTCTCTCACACATCGATGTTTCTCTCCCTCTCTTTCTCCCTCTCTTCCCCTCTCTCTAAAAATGAAAAAAAAAAAAAAAGAATAATCAACATCAAGGTTAGGGAAACTACTTGACTTTAGATCAGGGGTCAGTAAACATTTCCTGTGAAGGGTCAGATATCAATATCCAAGGTTTTCCAAGCTGTACGGTTTCAGTTGTAACTACTCAAACCTGCCATTGTACCGTAGCTATAGACAATATGTAAATGAGTGGATATGGCTTTATTATTTTTTAATTTGGCCAATTTTGGCCCAAGGGCTTTAGTTTGCCTGGCCTAGATCTAGATGCTACCTCGAGGGTATGGTAAACTTCAGTACATTCCAGACAAGCATTCACATGCAGGAGAATGTATACAACAATTTGGAGCCCAGTGGTGAATAAATACACATACACTATGTATGTGATGATATTCAGGACACAAGGCTGGCCAGAACCTAAGACTGGAGTTTAGATCTCAAATTAATGGTTCAGGGACCTGAACAAGGAGATTCATATTCAGAGCCAAAATTAAGTGGCTAGCCCCCCAGATAAAGGTGGGCTAGGGTTCAGTGAGGATGACTCAATTTTGTAGACTAGAAGCTCAAGAAGAAAATTAAAGAAACTCACCCCCACAGACTGGGGTTCTCCTGCCAGAACTAAGCACCACTCTCTCTCGGGCAGAGACCAGCCAGCCCAGGGCAGACAAGAAGTCAGTGGCAAACCCCTCACTCTAAGTCCCACATTCTCATCGTCATGGCACTCATCACACCACTGCCAATGAATCAAGAGCTAATGCTAAGTGTTTGCAATGATGGAGGAGAACAAGAAGGAGGCTACAGTTTGGGAGGCACATCTCAGGCACTCTGCCTTTAGGTAATGCCTAATTTCTGATCTTACCCACCAGAGATTAAGTGACAAGTTTAAGAGATCAGGGTTGACCTGTAGGCTGAAGATCCGTAGTATATAATCAGATAGGGCTGAGGAAGGCAGGGACTGTCACAGACACTGCACGACGGAGAACACTGGCAGATACAGGTGATGAAGGGATGCTGGGGCTGGGCACTGATGTAAAGGTTAAGCAGTGGATACACAGGAGAGGGCAAAAGTAGGTTTACACTTGCGAGCCTGCGAGACACGGAGGTTACTCTTATGTTATCGCTTATTTAACCTGCATGTCTTTTTCCATATGAACTGTAAACATACTTTTGCCCACCACTGTAGGGACAGTGGGCAGCCACTGAAGAGTTTTGAACAAGGAAGTAACAGAATCAGAATCGTGCACAAGGGAAGTAAGTCCATCAGCAAGTAGCTAACTACCAAAGACTGCTAGATATATATACACACACCAGGACAACAAAGACTCCAAGATAAAACACTCTCAGGGTTGGGATGTGAGTTATGAGGCTGCTACTGTCATCAGGGGTTAAGGGACAGTGGGGGCTGGGATTAAGGCGGTGGACAGTTCTGGTGCTCAGCAGACACAGCACCAGAGTTACAATGAATACTCCTCATTCTGAATACGGCTGTTTTCAACTCCTTCAGTCACAGAACACACGAAACACAAAGTAGTTCAGAAGATAGTTATGAGGGATTGTCCTCACCTAGTAAGATTATTTAGACATTCAGTGCTCTCAATGACTAATACCTTGTGGTTTAAGCAGAAGTAGGTCCTGTATAGTTTTACCTGTAGCTCCTATCAACACGAGTGACTTAATTATCTTAAAAGTGAAACCAAGTTGATGGGTTATTTTCTAGAGAATAGGAACACTCTAGATGTGCAAAATCATTACCTTTAATCTCCACATAAATAAATATCATGCAATGATAACCACATTGTAAATATAGCATAGGAAATCATGCCACAGTTCAAAGAGTAACATAGGGACAAAGGAATTATTGTTTTAGGTATCTCTCAGAAGCAAACAAGTAATATTAAACATCAACTTTTATTCCTTCTGTCTTCTTAAAACCATCATGCATACCTTATTTTGAAAGAAATTAGATCAAATATAAATGTATCATAATTTCGCAAAGACAAGAATAAATCATTATGTTTTAGTTCTATAATGCTTATCCATTATAATAATAATAACAGCGACAATTTATTGAGCGCTTACTATGTGCCAGGCACTGTACTAGGCATTTCATATAATCTCATAGCAAGCCTATAATGCAGGTGTTTTTGACCCCGTTTTACAGATTTGAAACCCAAGTCTGGGATGGTTCAAAAACCTGTTCATAGTCACAAATCCAGTAAATTGAAACAGGATTGAAAACAAGTCTGATTCCAAAGCTTTAGGCCTTATGCTGGCTTCTCATGCCCCAAGAGCCGAAGGGTTATCCCGCCAGGACTAAGCACCACTCACCCAAAGAGATGGAGTCCTCAGCCCAGGGCAGCCAAGAAGCCAGCACCCAAGGCCTCAGTCTAAGTCTATGTTCTTCTCATTATTGCATTCATCTTTCCACTGCCAATTAATCCAGGGCCACCTCCAGGTGTTTGCAATGTTGGGTTAATTATTTCTCAGGCTTTATGTAATAGTGCCTGAAAGATGAAGTGCAATGCCTCACGCCCACTGGAGCCATATTTAATTTCTCGATATTTGTTATTCACGCTAATGAAATACACTATTTATCCTTTCATCTATTTTCTCTTTGATTTTATGGTTTCCAAGAACATATACACTTTGTTCACTTCACACATCACATTTCTGAATTCTTAGATAAACAACCAGAACACACTGACTTCAAAGGCCATTAAAAGGTAATAGTATGGAAAGTTCAGTGATCAATGTATTTCACAGCACAAACATGAGTCACGCACGCTTTAGACTATACACACTGTAGAAGCCCTTTATTAGCAGGCAGCTGGTGACAGCTATGAAATCCAATGTCTAGTTAAAAGAACCTTCTCTGCACTTTGAACTGAAGGCATTTTAAACAAACGAAAGGCTTCCTAAAAATGCAATGACAGTTTCCTAATATTTTCTACAAATTTCAGCAACCTGGGCCACCTTTTCTCTCCACTTTTTTTTGCCACTTTTTAAATATTTTTGGAAAGGAGGAAATTCCCATGCCCTTCATCATATTGAACACAAGAATTAACCTGAGCCATTTGATGACAAATAGGTTCTTTCCACTTGAACTGTATGTCAACTATACTAAAATAAATTTTAACTTTTCAAGTGGAGGGACTATTCTTAACTTAAAAAAAGAAAAAAGAGGCACCTGCTTCCATGGCAGTGTTATTAACTCCTAATTCTGCCACTTAGCCTATACCGACTTTCGCACCCTCCTATAGGTCCTGCTGACTTGTTCAACTCAATCCCATTAAAATGGTCTATCATTTCCCCTCATTAATGATACTTCTTAGATTATTCTAACTGGATATTCCCTTAAAGAAGAATTAGATATATCCCAATGTTTTATTTCAATTGTCCTGAGCCCCAGACAAATATTGCCATGTAAAAAGGCAAAGTCTAGGCATTCCTATGACAACTAAAATCCTATAACAGTCAGTTTCCCACTACATGAGTTCATATTCAGTTTCTGGTTTGTGTTGCTTGATATAAAATTTGATTTCTCCAACTCTAGTCAAATTAAGAGAAAAAAAATTGCCAAGGTAGCAATCTCAATGAATGGTACAATTACCAGCAAGACACATTCTTTAGAGGCATACACGGCCACTGATTAGACTCATAAAACAATCACTGACTTAAAAATATTCACCTCCAGATGTGATTAACACTATGCCAAATGGCATTGAACCTGGAAACAGTAAACTGCACAGAGTTCTCTGCTTGGGTTTATGAAGACAATAAATATAACAAGGTAAAATGTTTTACTCAAAATATCTATTCATCATTATTTCCCATAAACCTAGTAACTCAGAAGAAAAACAGTGATTATCACATAAGAAACTCACAGGAGGTACTGTCTTTTCTTCCAGGAAGTTTATGCTATGTTTGTTTCCCCTCTTTTTTTTTCTATGACATCTACATCTAACTCTCTTTTCTGGGAGGGACTAAAATGTGGACAAGCTAGAACCAAATGCACAATTTTTAAAATAACAAAGACAAATGCATTAATGCTACTACTTAACCTTGGTCTCTATGAATGGGTTGGCCAAAATGTTCCTTTGCCTCTTTCCGTGCGATAGCTCTAGTAGCGCTTAGCTGTCTTTAACTTCATTCAAAACAATTTTGTCACATTATATTGTGACAGCTGTCATATCAGTGTGCATTAAAAAAGACTTATCAAAATGGGTTAATTTTTTGTGTGGTATTTTAATATTGAAGATGGAAGAAAATAAACAATTTCAGCATATTATGCTTTATTATTTCAAGAAAGGTAAATATGCAACAAATGCAAAAAAAAAGGTTTGTGCAGTGTATGGAGAAGGTGCTGTGACTGATCAAATGTGTCAAAAGTGGTTTGTGAAGCTTTGTGCTGGAGATTTCTTGTTGGACAATACTCCATGGTCAGTTAGACCAGGTGAAGTTGATAATGATCAAGTTGAGACATTACTTGAGAATATCAATGTTCTACCACACGGGAGACAGCTGGCATATTCAAAATACCCAAATCAATAAAGTTATTGGTGAAAAAGAAAAATGTATCTTTTATGGGAAAAAACTAAACAGACTTTTTGGCCAACCCGATACTTGCAAAAACCAACCAATGAGATTGATACACTTTCCTGTCAAGGTAATGATGTCAGAGGTAGAAGGACCTTAGAGACATAGTAGTCCTATTCTCTCATTTGACAGATATCAAATAAAAGTAGGGAGATTTGATTAAGACCATCCATTTACCTAGTGGCAAAGCAGAAACTTGAAATCAAAGTTTCCTAGCTCCTGGACTCATACCATTTGTGTTGTATTTTCTATTATGATTCTGTTTACACTTCAGGAGCTTTCAAAATATACAGATGCTTGGCCCCATCCCTGATTCAGCATACCTAGGGGCAGGTCCCAGAAATCTGGGAATTTTTTTCCACATCTCCCCATCATGATTTTGATGTGCAGTCAGTATTGAGAATCACTGTGGCTTAGAACAACAGCGTAATGGTCTCTGGCACCGTGACAAGTTACCAGCTCCAAAGCACCCTCTAACACAGGGGTGTCAAGATCATTTTCACCAGGGGCCACATCAACCTCACAGTTGCTGTCAAAGGGCCGAAAGTAACTTTAGGACTGTATAAATGTAACTACTCCTTAACTAGGGGCAAGGAACTCAGTGCCACTGGGTAGAAACAAGGGGCTGGGCCAGATAAAACAAGGTGGAGGGCCACGTGGGCCTTGTGTTTGCCAGCTGTGCTCTAATGAACTTTCATCTCTTATCTGCTTCTTTTGAATTTGTTGAGGAATGTCTTTCATCTCAACTGTAACTATGCAAGCAAGCCCTTTAACTTTTGTATTTTTTCCCTTTCCTCTGATCACTTCAAACTCACATACAGGTAGCCTATAATTCAGACCTCCATAGGGTGGGGGGATGTTACTGGGTTTCTACCACCTTTAAGGAAGAGGAACTGGCAATATCTTTTTCTGGAGGATATTCAGCTGTTCAAATCACTGGGAAGACCAGATATGACAAGAGATAAGATTGATGGAAGTGAAGTCTAGCAGCGTCTCCCCCAGGATTAGGTACCAAAGTAAAGCCAGGAATCCATTATAAATATACTGCCTTTCCAGACCAACCTTATACAATTGCTGAAAGACAAATTAATTGATATCAAATTAGTTAAAAGGAGAAGATTTGGATCCTTTCTGTTGAGATAGAAAGTTAGGCTTAAACAGAATTAAAATATATTGCAGAATGAAGAGAACAAAAACAAACTGACCAACCAAGTAGAGGATCCCCCCTCCCTAGGTACTAGAATTCACTCCTAAATCCCGCATTGTAGGAGAATTTGTGTTGGAGGAACTTATGAGCTTTGGGGGAACTCAATGAGCCTTGGGGGGCTCATTGAGCCAGGGAAAGGAGTATTATGAAAGCTCACACAATTGGTTTGTTCACTTAAATAAAACACTAGATACAGTGAATCTTGATGGAATTTTAATAAATTTACACTAGCAATTGTGATTGTTGGGCAATTCATTTCTATTTCTCTCTGATCTCAAGGTGAGGACAATCATGCATCAGTGAAAATGCTGGTCACCACAGTAGTGATAGGGAGGGAAATAAGAAGGTTGGATTTTGTCTGGAGATTAGCAAGCTCTGTCTTCTGTTCCACGTTCACCCTCTAGCACACAGGTGGCAAACACAAGGCCCGAAGACCAGATCCGGCCCTCCGCCTTGTTTTATTCATCCCGGCACCTTGTTTCTACCCAGCAGCAGGGCCGACCCCTCACTTAACTGTTAAGGAGTAGTTACATTTCTACAGTCCTAAAGTTACATTTGGCCCTTTGAAGGCAACTGCGAGGCTGATGTGGCCCTGGGTGAAAACAAGTTTGACGCCCCTCCTCTAGCACAGGGATCTCCACACCAACAGAGCTGCCCAGAATCTGAACCGCAAAGTTCAACTATCTGTGCACACAGCCTTTCTGCCTGCTGTTTGTGGGATGTGTTTGAATGACACAGTCCAATACTCCAAACTCTTCTTTCCTATTGAAACAAGCTAGCAGAGAGAAAAGACTTACTGACCTTTGTTTGAAAGTTTCTTATTACTGCTGTATAGGGTTATGGGTAATTATTTAAGTCTTGCCTAAAGGTCAGTAAATAGTCCACCCAATGATCTCTTTCCTCTGAATCACCATGGCATTTCCATTTGCAGAGGAGTTGCTTCAACATGCTTTGTGTTCTGCATGTTAACCTATGCTGACCTCTTTTATCAACCTTCTCAACTGTCTTCCGAGGGTGAGAATCCAACAGTTCAGCAATGCCACTTAATTCAATGTCTCCAAATTCTTTCCCACCTAAACACTTTGCAGATGCTACAATCTTTTCCATTTCTTGTACTGCTGGAAGGAAACTTTCAGAATCAGGTACAACCTCATTCCAAAGTTTCTGCCAAGCTCCCTTAAGGGCTGATCATTGTATTTCTCTCACAATCCTTCTACTATCACTAAAGCATTACAAACAGACATTCTGCCAAGTTTCTTTCACAGTAAGTTCTGGTGTCTCTCATAAGACCTGCAAGGTAGGCAAATGTACACCGAGTACAGTACGTCGTGAACATTTCTAGCATTCCCAGACACATGCGTTGAAGGAGTGCAGTTGTACTGAGGCAGGGGTGGGTAGGTGGAGATAAACTTTAACACAAGAATCAGCATTTACTATCACACTTTCATCAGTGGGAGTAGTGTCCAGAATCAGCAACACTTTGAATTCAAGATTCCTTAGTTTAAATACTGTTTAACCTCAGGAGCAAGACATTTCAAAAAACCAGTATAAAAAGAGTTTCTCAGTGATTCAAACTTTATGGTTTCCCCTCACATAGACAGAAAAGTATTTCTCACGTTCTCTTCAAACAGGATATGAATTTTGAAACCTGTGAAGCAACATGGGTTTAATCAGAAAGGTACCCCAAGCACTGGAACAAAGCAGACCTTTGATCATGTCTTTTCCAGGCTCGAAGCCTCTGGCCTTTTTCACAATGAGTGTGCGAATAGGCACGTGCTTCCAGAACAGGACCATTTCATCAGCCTTGAACACCTACCTGTTCAGGCAAATAGCCATTTTCCTCCATGAGTTTCTCCAGGTATCCAGGATACTCTGCAGCATCTTCACGGTCTCCTTCTTCTGCCAGCCACTTCTTTTCCTACAGACTACAGCATTTCCTAAACCCATCCAACCACCATTACTCGTGGTAAGTGTTAAAACTTTATATTTAGATCAAAATGTAAACTTGCATTTTTGTGAAAGAGGCCTATTCAGCCTCTTTCTGTTTTAGAAACCACAAAAACAAATCTCTTTCCATTTTCTCTATTTTGGCATTTCAAGTTATGTATGATTTTCTCAATGATTCCCGTATGCCCCTCAACTCGCTGGCCCTAATGACTTTCTCATTTCTCTCCATCGTATGAACCATAGATTCATTAACACCAAAAAATGCCCTATAGAGGTCTTAGTTCCACCGTTATCAAGCACTGCAAGAACTTTCATTTTGTTTGCAATACACATCACCTTTCTTGCCCTCTCCACCAGCCTTGCATTTATTTCTATCATCTACTTTTTGCTTTTTTGATTGGATGCTATTCTTACCCAAACTTATGCAAATTTACGATTATTGAACATTTTGCATCACTCACTGGTACACAACACTAATTTGTAATGTAGGAGAAGCAAATGACAACATTCACGAGACAAATAAAAGGGGCAAAACAGCTTTTGCACGACTGCACATGTGTGATAGATAGCTGCAAAGGAAGCAACAGACAGAAGAACAAGGGTAGAAGCGAGCAACTCAAATGTTGGTCTCATCACAAGACAACATAATGGTGACTTGAACTTGCGTATTGTTCCAAAACTCTCAAAGGTGCAGCAGACTAGGTCGACTCCAATTCTGCATGAGAATGACTTGCAGTTGTGGAGAAATCATGAAACTCAGGAGTCAAGGTCAGGCCACCAGGCTGAGGTGAGGAGCCCAAATATCGCCATCTAGGAGAAAGTAGACACGAAAATAGGAAATGAAGTCAGGAGCAGAGGCAGTCTGCCCAAGATTATAAACTAGAGAGGCAACAGAAATTTGGGATAATAATATATGCCAAATTGCCCTTACAAAGGCTGACCCAATTTGCATGCTCACTAAGAGTGGATGAGAATCCTTCTCCTCCATATGCTCACCAACAGGAAATATTACCAACCATTGTGCCAAGCAGAAGGTGAATAACAAGGTATCTCATTTTGGTTTTAATTTTCATTTCTTTAATCATGCTTCCATATGGTAAGCCATTTCCGTTTCTTCATCTTTACCTTAGTTTATATGCTTTGTCCATTTTTAATTTTTTTCTTGCTGATTTATAGGCACCGTGAGCATATTAGGGAGCTCTTATTTTTAATTTTATGTTGCAAACATTTTGTCCACTCCTGTCATTTACTTTGTAATTTTATTTAAGATTTCTTTTGTTATAAAGATGTTTCAAATATTTATGTAGTCAAATGTTTCATACCTTGCTTTGAAACGCTTGCTCTTCCCTAAGATAATAAAATTATATTCACTTATTTGCATTCATTATTTTTCTAGTTCTGTGGTATTATTTCAAGGTATTGAGGAAAATATGGACTATTCAATAAATGGTGGTAGAATAACTGACTATCCATCTACAAGAGTGTCTGAAGGCCTTTCTCAGTGGTGTTTCCCAGCTTAACCAGAGACACAGGAGTTAAGGTAAAGAGCCCCACGGAGACCAGATTGGGGGCTCAAGTGGATTCTAGTTGGCCACTCCAAATCTCCAGAGGTCAGTGTAGCTTGGGGAGGGGAGTGTTTCCAAATGAATAAAGAATTACTTTATATTTTTCTGGTTTAAATTCTGTTCTGCCACCAATCTATACTCCTGACTTTTAACTGAGTGATTGTACCAAGTCCTCAGCTCTCTGATCTGCTGATAACGGATTTACTAATAATTTATAAACAGTCACGGTTTGGCACAACTGAAGCAATTTGAAAATGAATTGGCTGTTAGATGCGATTAGGTAATTACTGTTGACTCTATTAGAGCTAATAATGGAACTGTGGTCATATCGGCAAATACTCATTTTTTGGAGGGAAAGCCGAAGCAAATGCACATAATAATGTAATGAGTAATTTATTTTATGGAAAATGTTAACAATTGTTAAATTCAGGTGGTTGGTAGCTGAGCACTCATTACCCTGTTCCATTTCTCTGTAGGTTCGAACAATCTCACAGTAAAAAAACTGTGTGCGCATACCTTATGAGTGCGTGAAGTAATAATCTGATGTTTCGAGGCTATGTTTTAGGCACTGTAACATAGGTCCCTTTCCAGATTAAACACAAGATGAAGAGTTACAACTAAAGAACAACTGATTGTTGGAAGGAAATCACTTTAAAAGAAATCATTTCCTCTCTTTAAGTCACTAGATTAAATACTAAAGCACTACGAAGCCTGAATCCCAGTGTCAATCGAATGGTGAGGCTCAATTTCCAAGTATTCTTTTTGTCTACCAAATTTGGGCAAAATATAGTAATTTTACCTGAAACCAGATTATTTGAGCCTGGGGACAGTTCACCTTTGTAATACTCATGACAACTGTTTTCTGTACCATACAAAAGATAGAGATTAATGCAAGACCGTAAGGAACAAAGAAGAGCATGAAAACTGATAACCCTGGGTAGGGAGCATGACTCCCCTATGTTTAACAAAACCATTGGGTAAAAGTTCATTAAACCAAATTTCAAATGCCAGACTATACTTCTCCCTACAACATTCACTTAGGGTCAGAGTTTCATCCCATGTTCTCTAACCTTGCTAAGAATATGTCACTTATGTAAGATTCTGGAGTCACGTGAGTATGAAGAATAAAATCTCTGAAATCAACTCCCTATGTTATCTTTTAGTTCTGCAAACTATACAGGAACTTGAGGCTCCTAGGATGGTAATGAATAATGGTATAGTCAAGTGCACCCCTCTTTCCGGTGGTTTTCCAAAGCACATGTATCTACAGGGTTGAGAGTGTAACATCGCTCTTCCAGTCCTTGTGAGTCTAAGGCGCCTGGCATACTCTGTAAGGAGAAATGAAGCCTAGCTGGTTGAGCTCTGTAGTCGTGAGCTGGGCTGACACTGCTTAAGGATCCAAAAGGGCAGGATGTTCTCAGGATGTTTTTCTGCCGGCATTTCAATCAAGAACAAGGTGGGGCTTTTTTTAAAGAACTTATTTACTTATTTTTAGGGATAAGTGAAGGGATGGAGAGAGGGAGAGAAACAGCAATGTGTGGTTGCCTCTAGAGTGCCCACCACCAGGGACCTGGCCAGCAACACAAGCATGTGCTCGGACTGGGAATCAATCCGGGGACTATTTGGTTTGCAGGCTGGTACTCATTCACCAGCCAGGGTGGTTGTTTGTTTGTTTGTTTGTTTGTTTGTTTTTAATGCTACACCCTGTGAGGATTTATATGTACAAACAGGATTGTGTTCATTGCAGCTTCTGTTGTGAAAGGACATTTGCTCTTAAGGGGTTTGTTTTTACACAAGCTGTGCAGAGCTCATTTTCCCTCTTGAAAAACCTTCATACACACACACACACACACACACACACACACTCACTCAAGTGGTGAGTTCAAAAATGCAGACCATCAGAATCATTTAATTACTTTAAATTATAATACCCATAAACACTAATCAATGATGAGGCTTCCATAAGAAATCTTATTTTCAGGGGGGAGTAATGGGGGCGGGAATGAGGATAACAGTCATTGAACAACAATAAAAGAAAAAATCTTATTTTTTCCAAATTTATAAACTACCCACAGTGTATTTATTAATATGATAAAGATGTCATTCAACTGACTTTTGAGATCAAAGAGCAATATAAGAGCACTTCCAAAATATCCAAAATTTCAGAAATTCACTCATTTCCCTCAATCATCTCATGCTGACAAAGAGCTTATCATGTACAAGGCCATGTGAATAAATATATTGATTTAAAAACCCTTGATCTCAAGGAGCTTAGTCTTCTAGGGGAGATAAATGTAACACAGTATAAGGCAGAAAGCCACACATTCCATAAGAGTTGCAAACAACGTGTCATGGGGGCCAGATGTACTTTATCTACCCTGGTGAACTCATACCCTGCTTATCCCTCATCGGAAGAATGCTGTAACTTCCTGACTCACAGCTGGCAAACACAAGGCCCGCGGACCAAATCCAGCCCTCCACCTTGTTTTATCCAGCCCAGCACCTTTTTTCTACCTGTTCTCCTTGCTCTAGTTAAGGAGAGGTTACATTTACACAGTCCCAATATTACATTCGGCCCTTTGAAGGCAACCGTGAGGCTCATGTGGCCCCAGGTGAAAATGAGTCTGACACCCCTGTCCTAAGTCATCTGCCTGCCATTCAAGCCTATCTTCCACAGTGCCTCCAGAGCAAAGTTTCTAAAATAGGGGTCTAATCCAGTACTCCCTCCACTTTAAACGACTCCCATGAGTCCCCACAGCTTACTCCATAAAGCCCAACATCCCTCTGTATGACAGTACCTGTCCACTTTCCCAGTCTTATCTTTTCCTCCCTCGTCCCTCATTACCTGTGTGTCAGACATTTAAGGGGCTATATCAATCATCCAGATTTCTTTCATCTTCAACACTAGTTCAAGCACCACCTCTTCCAGGAAGCTCTCCCTGTTCCCTCCAGATGGCTCTGAAGCACTGATTGGAACTCTCAGAGGCTCCCTCCCACACTTAACTATGATTACAGCATTTTGACATTTCACTGTAGTGCCATCTGTTTCCCTGTGTTTTAATCATTTCTGAATGCCTTGACAGTATCTGCCAGAGAATAGATCATTTCATTACGTAAAGGCTGACCTTGGAAGGGAGTAAGAACTGCATGTAACGCTCACAAAAGGGTTAGCATTTCAAGTGGCTTTTGAAGAACAGGTAGGATTTCCAGTGCGTGGAGAAGACGGTAAGCAAGTGGGAGGTAAGAGGGGTCAAAGGCAGAGGCAGGAAAAGGCAAGGTATGGGGATTAGGTGAGATCAGGATAAAAAAAGAGTGGCCGAAGTGGATAGTAAAAAACAAAATTGGAAAAGTCTGTTAAGGAAAATCATAGAGGGCCTCAGATGCCTGATTTCTTTGGTGAGATGGAGTTATGTTTAAATGCCTTGGGTTTGGGTTTGCAATGAATAAAAAAGCAGCTGTTGAAGATTAAATCTCGTCCATTCTTTCTTGTTACTAGGTCTCAGCATAAACATTCCTAAGGAAAAAAGTCATAACTATTTGTGTCATAAGTAATTTAGGGACATCACGCTGATATTTATTATCACATTGCTATTTTGTTCTTGCACTTTAACCTTTGATAACAAAGACAGTCACAAACACCTTCAATTTCCTTCTATGGTTTGATGGGTCACTAATCAAATAGACATCCACAGTTCTTAATAATAATCTATTTTTCACATTAAAATTTCATGGAAAATTGGGCATATTTCTTACTGGGTCCCAGGATTTTTTTACAGCTGTGAAAAATTCTACACTCAAAAAGTCAAAATGGAGTCTATGCTGCAACAGTGCCCTCTTCTGGCTCCAGTGTGGAATAGCTAAACTCCAGGTCAAGAACTAAGGCATAAGCCAAGGTCATGGGGGTAGGGGGGGTGGCCGGGGGAGCAGGCCTGCAATGTCTGTATGTCCCCTTTCATGTTAAGCAGAATGTTGACTTGAAAGCTCCTCAAGGGAATTAACTCACTTTAGCAGGCCAGGAATTGGGCAAGTGTTTTGACAAATTCCATTTTTTCCCTTCCAAAGATTCTAAGAAAAGGCACATTAATTCAAACAATAGTTTTCTGATCTCCTCCATTTGCTTTTTCTCTTTACCTTATTTTCACTGTCCTGTGTAAGACAAAATGAAGCATTTAGTTAAGGACTGACTGCTTTAAGGAATCCAGCAATCATGGACCTAGTGACCTCGTGGAGGGCCAGGTTCCAACC